ACAGTGGCTTGTGATTAAATTCCTTGTGAACCCACCTTCCTCGAGGAAGTCTTTCTTCCTCGGTACAAGCCAAGTCTTTGCTGATGTGATACAGGCTCTGTAATATGCTGTGCTCAAATATAAGTGATTTGGTGATGTATCAGTGCAGAAATAATATTTGAAAATGAAGTTATGACTTGTCTCCATCCAGTTCTTTGCTCCTATTGCAGTGTGGCATTAGCCACCATATTTCACTTGCCCACCACAGCGTTTTGTTTTCCTTGTGTAAATTTAGAATGTTTTTAGAATTGTCAGCGAGCTGTTTCTTCTCCTCCTGTAAAGAAGCAGTGGTACCATCCATATTGAAGTATTTCCAGTAGTAAATATTCCTTATTCTAAGCACCTTTCCTGCTTGTTCTGTGTTGGTAGCTGTACATTTTTGACAGTTTTTTATCTATTAAATCCACTGAATTTAAAGCAGATTTAGACAAGTTACCTCAAAAATCCCATTCAGTGGTGATAAATATTCTCTTGCAGGTTTCGGAATCAAACGGCGAGTTTTTTCTCAAATCTTCCGAGCTCTTCGAGAGTCCAGTTTACCTGGAGGAGGCAGCAGATGTTCTCTGCATTTTGCAGGCAGGTTGGTAGTCTGTGTTTACAGTGTTTTCTGCCCTCTTTACGAGCGTAACAAAATAACTTTGGGAGCCATTGGGAGGATTTCAGGTTCATCCGAGCTGGGCAGCTCTTTGAGAGAGGAGCAGATCAGAGGTTGATTGTGTTGAAAACAAGGTTTCACTTGTCTTGCAGTGAAACATTGTGACCTCTAACACCCCCTTTTCGTGCAGAGCTGCCCTCCCTGTTGCCCATAGTGGATGTGGCTGAGGCTCTGCTGCACGTTAAGAACGGGGCCTGGTTCCTGTGCCTTCTGGTGGCCAATGTCCCTGACAGCTTCAACGAGGGTGAGTCACAGCTGCTTCTTGTCCAGCTCCTGCTTCAGGGCTGAAATGATTTCTAACTGTACAGTTAGTTCTCTAAACCACGTGTTGTACATGTTTGAACTGAAGAGGGTTTGGCTCGTGAGATATAATTTGAATGCATTCACATCTAGAGATGCTGGGTTAAGGGTTGCCCTCCCATCGTGTTGGTTCCCATTTTTTTTGCAGCCTGCTTGTCAAAGTTTTTATCTGTAGGTCGATTACAAAGGCTGGCTCAGGCTGGGACTACAGTAAACTGCTCTAGCCTTGCTAACAGTTCTTATCCCTTGCACTGAGACATTTTATGAGGTGAAAATTTGTACTGATGGTGCACTGTTGGCATCCCTTATCTGGCACTAAGATTTCAGTTCTCCGGGACTGCCAGGTGCCCAGGTTACATTAGGTAAGGTGTGAGCAGTAACTGGGTGATGCATAAATCTGTAATGACCCTGTAATTTATCTGGGGAGAACGACCAGTTCCTTGTTCTGCTTCTAGAGTGCAGCTCGGGAGTTCTTGCCCCAACCAGGTTTTGTGTGGCCCAGCTAATAAATCATGGTGAGCTGAACAGAACAGCTTGGGTTTATCACAGAATGGTTTGGGTTGAAAGGGAACTTAAAGACATTTAGTTCCAACACTGACACCTTCCACCAGCCCAGGTTGCTCCAAGCCCCATCCAACCTGGCCTTGGACACTTGCAGGGATGGGGCAGCCACAGCTTCTCTGGGCATCCTGTTGGACTTTGTGGCTTTCTGCTGGAAAGGGGAGGTGTGCTGACAGCTCCTGTTGGATGTTTAAGTGTGCAGAGGTTTGATTAAGAACGGGGAGCAGCAGGACGAGGAGAGCGTTGGGGGCCGGCGGAGAACGGAAGCCCTTCGGCACCTGTGCAAGATGAACCCTTCCCAAGCCCTCAGGGTCCGGGGCATGGTGGTGAGTCTGCCACGAGGATCGTAACTGGGACCCTCTAGTTACAAATAAGAGCTTTCTAACCAACACAGATCATTTTATCCAGGTGGAAGAGTGCCACCTCCCGGGTCTTGGCGTGGCTTTGACCTTGGATCACACCAAAAACGAATCTTCAGATGACGGAGTGAGTGACCTGGTGTGCTTTGTCAGTGGGCTGCTGCTTGGGACAAACGCAAAGGTTCGGACTTGGTTTGGGACTTTTATCCGAAATGGCCAACAGGTATGAAAATCTCGGGATATTCTGCTTTGAAAAATATATTCAGCTATCTTGCTGAAACCCTTCTGGGTGTGGGCACCCATGGTTGTCTGAATGTACATAAATCCTGTTTAAGGAGGAACCTTTACAGGGCAACCTCCCCTTATGGGACCATCAGGTCTATAAATGGTGTCCCTGAAGGCAGCAGCTGTCTGGTTGTTCCTCTGAGAGATTTTTAGGCCTGGAAATCAGGGAATTGTATGTAATGTTTACCCTATAAATGTGTATGAACATGTATGAACATGTTTATCAGGTGAGCATTACATAAAATTCCCTGGTTCCTCAGACTTCACAGTAGGAAGGTGCACCTTGACTTGCTTAGTTGACTTAGTTGGAGCTTGTGTTTTAGTGGAAGAAGCTGTTGTGGTGTGATCGTGTGCTGCCTGTTGGTACTGAAAACTGTAAAACAATAATTAAAAGAAAGCAGCCTCGACTTGATCATTGTGGGAGCTCTTCCACAACACCCTGACGGGATGAGTTTTATGTCGCTTGGGACGGATTTCACTTTCTCACCTTTTAACCTCTCACGCAGAGAAAAAGAGACAATATCAGTTCTGTGCTGTGGCAGATGAGGAGGCAGCTGCTCCTGGAGCTGATGGGGATCCTGCCCACGGTGCGCAGCACCCACATCGTGGAGGAGGCGGAGGCCGACACGGAGCCCACCGTGTCCGTGTACTCGGGGCTCAAGGAGGAGCACGTGGTGAAGGCCAGCGCCCTGCTACGCCTCTACTGCGCCCTCATGGGCATCGCTGGCCTCAAGTAATGACCCTCCTCTTGCTCTGGGCTGTGTTCGGGGCACGCCTGTTCGTGTCTCAGCAGGGATTTGGGGCTGTGGGCACTTCCCTCGTGAGCTGTGGCTCAGTGTCACCTCGACACAGCAGCACTCACCAGTCTCAGCACTCAGCAATCTCTTGATTGCTGCCAGTTCACTGCTTACAATAAGTCCAAGCCCACATGGTTGGAGCAGTGTGGAGAAGAGAAAGTAGCTGGTTGTTCTGTCGTTGTATGAATTTTGAATTTCTATTCCTTTTACCTTTTTAGAGCGTGCTAATGTAGCCTCTTTACACATTGCTAGTTTTAATTTAAGTATTTTGTACTGCTAGGCAAGGTGATATCCTGGGGGAGCTGTTGTTGTCTCTTAACAGAGATTTTTATGTCTTAAAGTCCGTCGAGAATTACCAGCAAATGTCGATACTCATTGATAGCAACTTGATGAACAGATTCAATAACCGGGAAAATTCCAGTCTTTAACCCCTGTGATGAGATGGAAACATCCTCACTCTTGAACTGGATCACAGATTGAATTGGTTGTGTTCTCTGTCCTGTCCAGGCCGACGGATGAAGAAGCTGAGCAGCTCCTGCAGCTCATGACCAGCCGCCCTCCGGCAACTCCTGCCGGTGTCCGCTTCGTGTCCCTGTCCTTCTGCATGCTCCTGGCCTTCTCCACCCTGGTCAGGTACCTCCCAGGAAAGCAGCAGCTTTGCCAGCAATTTACTGCTCTAGCACCGTGAAGCTGCACAGTTTTTCTCCCCTAATTTTGTAAAAATTTGCATATAATTTTTATCTAAGTCTCTGTATGTCGATGGAAGGCACTGAAGTAGCAGTGCAGATATTTAAGGGGTGTAGCTCCCTGCTGGCTGCATTCCAGACAGGAAGTTCCCTGGCACTTGGCCTGACCTTTGTCAGTTAAATATCACTGTTATCAGCTGTTGGATGCTAAAGAGAAAGTGACAAAAAGTCTCCTGGAAAACTCCTCAAATAGTGGCTTTTCTGGTAGTAATTTTTATTAAAATGAGGCTGTTTTTTGTTGGAAAATAATCCTTTATGGATTTCCTTTGTGCAGCACCCCAGAACAGGAGCAGCTCATGGTGATGTGGCTTAGCTGGATGATAAAGGAAGAAGCCTACTTTGAAAGGTGAGGGTGGGCTTGTTTTGTCTGAATGGTTGCACTCATCTCACATTTATTTACGTCCTGTTGGAAACTAACTCTTCCCCTCTGTTCCCATCAGCATTTCTGGTGTGTCTGCTTCCTTTGGGGAGATGCTTCTCCTGGTGGCCATGTATTTCCACAGCAACCAGCTCAGTGCCATCATCGACTTGGTCTGCTCCACCTTGGGAATGAAGGTTAAAATCAGCTTTTTACTGTGGTTTTAGACTTTTGTATTTCCTTTAGTTCTGATAGGAAGAACTTCAGGTTGGCTGTTATACCTAAAGCAAAGAGAACCTGATAAAAATAAGTAATTATCCAATAATTCCTCTGGAATAACGTGAAGTTACTCATGTCCATGGATGCAGAGGAATGCTGGGATAAAAGTGTCTCCAAAAAGTGCTGACTTGTTCAAGTCATATTTGCAAGGAATGAGCTCTTTAGAAGATGAATTGAAGTCGTTTCCAAACCGAGCTGCAAACTTTTTATTGTAGGTGAATAAATATATATATGTAATAATTAATGTCAGGACATTGCCAACAATTTTCTGTCATGAAAAATATCTCATCAAAGGTAAAAGCTGGATAGGGAGTTTTTTAGGATAAAGGGAGATGTGGAGTGATGGACTTGGGACGTTTATAAATATTTTTGTTTGACACTTGCAGTAGAGATGTGAATGTTTTCCTGCAATGACAGTTTTAAAAGGCTAAAAGTTACCAATTTATAAAATAAATTTGCAGTCTTTGCTTATGAGAGAGCTAAAACTTGCACTTCTGAGTAGTTTGTTCCTTATTTCAGATTGTTATCAAGCCCAGCTCGCTCAGCAGGATGAAGACAATCTTCACACAGGAGATTTTCACTGAACAGGTATTTTCAGCCCAGGGTTGTTTTTTTTTTTTCCTCCCTTGCGTTTTTCCCTTTCCATTCAACTTCCAAACCACCAAGAAGAAGGGGATGCCAGGACAGGCTGTGGCTGTGTGACCTTGTCCCCTGGTGCAGGGGCAGGAGTGGATGTTTTGGGGTCTCTGTGTTCACTGTACCCTCCCTGTAGGTGGTCACAGCCCACGCAGTCCGAGTGCCCGTCACGGGCAGCCTCAGTGCCAACATCACCGGCTTCTTACCCATCCATTGCATCTACCAGCTGCTGAAGAGTCGCTCCTTCACCAAGCACAAAGTGTCCATTAAGGTATCACCTTCCTTTGGTTTCGGTTCAGAGTTCTGGATGTTGACCAGGTTGTGTGGTTGAATCCCAGGAGCAGAATTCATGATCAGTCCTATACCCCACTACCATGTTATATCTGGACATTAAGTGAGGGTGCTCAGCTCTGTAATCCAGAGACCACAGCTGAGTGAAGTTAAAAAATAACACATTCATTATCTCCCTCCCCCCTGTCTGTGCTTAATAAAATTTTAGTCAGAATAATTTTCCAGCCAGGACAAGCTTTGTTTGTGAGTGTCTCCAGGGTCCAGGACAAAGTCAAAGCCTCATTTACTTAAATTTTTGTGACTAGTTGAAGGGGGAGGTATTTGCAGGCAAACCAGACTGCCCCCCAGCTTGGCAACTGCCCCGTGCCACGGGATGTTCTCTCCTAGGACTGGATCTACCGGCAGCTCTGCGAAACCACCACCCCTCTGCACCCTCAGCTGCTCCCCCTCATCGATGTCTACATCAACTCCATCCTGACTCCTGCCTCCAAATCCAACCCAGAGGCCACAAACCAGCCTGTCACAGAGCAGGAGATCTTGAACGTTTTCCAGGGCCTCTCTGGGGTAAATGATTTGTTTGGTTCTTTGATGTGCTCAGGTGTGAACGTGCGGGTCGGGGTTTTGGGTGTTAAAGTCCCTTCACTTTTGTCTTTCCTGCCTGTGAGCTGCCTCCTGCTACAGTGATAACCACGTGTTATGTGTAGGTAAATGCCTGTTTTGTCGAGGATCAGGAGTGCAGCATGACCTCTGTGTGTGGTTTTGTGTGCAGGGGGAGAACACCCGTCCCACTCAGCGCTACAGCATCACCACACAACTGCTCGTCCTCTACTACGTCCTGTCCTACGAGGAAGCACTTCTGGCCAACACAAAGGTTCTGGGTATGTGTGAGAGCAGCAAGGGGAGACAGATTAGCTGGAAATCAGCTGCTAAGGGAAGAGAAATTCACTGTGCTCTCAGATTCAAGCATAAAAAGTTTAGATTCTTGTAGTAAATAGATTGATTTAGAAATCCAGGAGATAAAAGTTTCTGCTAAAACTCTGTGGTTGAGTGGTTTTGTTTTTCAGATGAAAAAAGGTCCAACCTGGCCAAAAAGTTACCAGAAATAGTTGTGACCATCTAATGAAAACAGCAAAAATTAAAAAGGACTTCGTAATGAATTGAGATCTTCATTTCTTCACCTGGTTTCTTGTGCTGTTCCCTTGCAGCTGCCATGCAGAAAAAACCCAAGTCTTACTCCTCAGCATTAATGGATCAGATTCCAATCAAGTACCTCATCAGGCAGGCCCAGGGGCTGCAGCAGGAGCTGGGAGGTAAATCTGTGTGGGAAGGTCTGATGTGCATGGAGAGGGAGGCAGAAAGTGTTCCCAGCTCAGTGGCTGTTGCTTCTTTCATACTTTGCCTTCCTTTCTCTTTCCTTTAAAATAACTGGTGAGATTAGAGATGTTTAAAGAGTAGTAGTGAAAGTGTGAGGAAGGGAGCTCATTTTAGAGTAGGCCTTACCTACCTGGGGCAGGTTTTAGAGTAGGAATGTTCAGTTATTCTAGACTGAATCACTACAGGCGACTTCCCAAAAGGGAACTTTTCCTTCCCGTCACCGTTGGAATATCAGGCTGTGAATGTGCAAACCCCTTGAGCTCCTGGGCAGTGGTTCTGTGGTTGAACTGAAGGGCACAGGTGTGTTCAGGGGGAGGGTGCAGCTGCTCACATCTGAGCTGTGCCCTGTTTCGGTGCCCCCCAAGGTTTACATTCTGCTCTGCTGCGTCTCCTCGCCACCAACTACCCCCACCTCTGCATCGTGGACGACTGGATCTGCGAGGAGCAGATCACAGGCACTGATGCCTTGCTGAGGAGGATGCTCCTCACCAACATTGCCAAGAACCACTCTCCCAAACAGCTCCAAGAAGGTAAATGGCTTCATTTGAAGTTGATTCTTTCCAAATCTGTTGGAGCTGGGTGGGTTTGGAAGCCCTGTTGGTCGTACCGCGTTTATAAAACCCAAATGTTCTGCCGCCCGGCAGAAAAAATGTCACAAGTCCAGTTGTACCGAGATCCCTTTTGTCTTTCATTTCCAGCCTTTTCCATGCTGCCTGGAAATCACACCCAGCTGATGCAGATCTTGGAGCACCTGACGCTTCTCTCAGCCGGGGAGCTGATCCCGTACGCGGAGGTGTTGACGTCGAACATGAATCGCCTGCTGGATGCCGGGGTCCCTCGGGGCATCCTGCAGGCTGTCAATAAACTCTGGATGGTCCTGAACACTGTGATGCCCAGGAGGTGGGGTCAAAATAACTGCTTGGTTCCTCGTTGCAGATAGAATCGTAGAATCATGGAGTGGTTTGGGGTGGAAGGGACCTCAAAGATCATCATCCAGTTCCAACCCCTTTCTGTTTTAAAAATAGTGGCACAGTGCCCTTACCTGGGAAATTGGAGGTTGTGACTGAATGGAATGTGTTGGAGATACATTCCTTTTTTGTTCTGCTGAAATTTTGAACCCTTGCATTTAAAAAGGAAGGTGGTTCTTGTTCCCAGGTGAAAGGAAGTCACCAGTTGACTTAAAATACAGGAGTGTGGTTTTGTAGCATGTGTTGTTTATGATGAATTACTGATGAAACATCAACTTACTTTGGGAAAAACATGCCTTTTTTATGAAGTAGGTGCTGTACTGCAGGGAAAACAGTTTGGTTGCTGTAATTCCAGTAAGTCAGCTGTGTCTTGGTTAACTGCAGGGGCTGCAAATGAACTGTGGGGTTTTTGCTCCTTGAGGGGCCTAGAAAAGTAGAGCTGAGATGTCCAGATGCTTCAGAGATCCCTTTTCTCATATGGATTATCTACTAAAAAAACCCCATGAAAATGTTCTCGTTGTAGGTTGTGGGTGATGACTGTGAATGCTCTGCAGCCCTCAGGAAAAATAGTCCGGCAGCAGAAATACACCCAGAATGACCTGATGATTGACCCCCTGATCGTCCTGAGGTGTGACCAGAGAGTCCACAGGTGAGTGTCTCCCTCCCTGAGGGAGTGCTGAACAGAAAGGTGCCTCACAGGGAGCTTCTACCCGTGGGGTTTGGCCCCAGGCCACCCCTTTTGGCTGTGTGTGGGTCTGTGGGGAGCAGATGTTGCAGCAGGGTTGAAATGGCTGCTGCCCCGAGCTGGTGGCCGAGCTGTGCTTTAGCCCCTGGCTTTATTCCTTGTGTGTTCAAGTTCACGTTTCCTGTCAGCTGTAGTTTATTTTCCCCCTTTTTTATTATCCTTTTGTTCATAAGAAATGGCTAATAATCAACTTGATTTGTTTTTCATGTTCTTGTTTGGGTGCATCTGTCCCCCATTGCCCTTTGGCAACTGAGCTGGGCATCCCATTTTCATGTGAGTCGCTCCAACTCCTCTAGACTTTGAGTTTCTGTTCATGGCATCTGTAACCCCCAACCCTGAGGTGAAATATTTCAATGTGTGTCCCTTCAGCCCTGGATGCAAATTGAAAATCCTCCATTTCTCAAACTGTTTGTTGGGGAGGTTTATAATGCAGTGTGACCTCAGAACTCTCAGTGTTATGGCAGCAGCTCAGAGCTGCTCTGCCTTATTTCCCCCCATCATTCAGGTGACTGTTTTTCCTCATTTTATGTACATCTGACCCTTTTCAGGTGTTCTTTGTTCATCAGCAGGGTGTGTATTTACATGTCTGTGCGTGAGAGAAGTGGGACTGAATGGAAACTTCTACTGGGTTAGGAAAAAAAAGCTTTACTATGAATCAGAGGAGCCCGTGGGAGTGCTTTTGGTTTGTTCATCTTATCACTGTTTATTGCTCTGCCCACTGAAATATCTTTATTTTATCCTGTGTTCTCGTGTCAGGAGCCCTCCCCTGATGGATATAATTTTGCACATGTTGAATGGGTATCTCCTTGCTTCCAAAGCTTACCTCAACTCCCACCTCAAAGAAACAGCAGAGCAGGACATCAGGCCCTCCCAAAACAATCCAATGGGTCCAGAGGCCCCAGAGGTTACCAGAGAAGAATTAAAAAATGCTTTGCTTGCTGCTCAGGTAAGGGGGGAGAAATGGATATTTAGCATTGTGAGGGAAGACAGTGATAAAACAGAAATAGGAAATTAAAATGGCAGGCATTTTATTTCTTTTTTTACCAAATTCTGTTACCATGGAAAAGAAAAACTGCCTCTATATTCAGGTTATTAAACATTTCCTTTTTTCTATATCCTGCTCTGGAGGGTTTGGAGCAGGGAAACAGGAATAAATGTGACAAACCTGTGCCTGATCATTTATTTGCCCAGTGTTATTGGAATGAGAGGCTGAAGAATGGTTCACTTCCCCAGCTTCCCATCATTGCTGAGGAATCCTGTTGGAGTCTTGACTGAGATAAAAGTGCTCAGGTTTTTTTTTTCTAACATTCTACAGGATTTGTGATTCTTGAGCTGAATGTTTCCATTCTGCATTTAAAAATTCGGTAGACAGAAAGAAACTTTGATGACATGAGAGCTTTCTGTTCCTTTGATTGTCGTTCCTCTGTGCTTGATTTGTCAGATCTCACCGGGGTTTTGATGCTGGTTTGTGGATTGTTTTCTCCCCAGGACAGTGCTGCTGTGCAGATCCTGCTGGAGATCTGCCTGCCCACGGAGGAGGAGAAGGGCCAGGGCAGCAGCTCTGCTGCTTTGCTGCTGGGACCCCCCAGCCCCCCAGACCCCAGGGGGGCCGAGGCCGAGGAGGAGGAGGGTTTGCTGTGCAACCTGAGGGAGGTGCAGTGCCTCATCTGCTGCCTGCTGCACCAGATGTACATTGCTGACCCCAACATCGTCAAACTCGTGCACTTCCAGGTCTGCCTTGCACTGCTTTGGTCCCGCTGTTGTTCCTCGGGTCGGGGAAGGGTCAGCTGAGGTGGTCACAGATCTGGATTGTGTTCCTGGCCTTGTGTTCCCCAGCACTGATAATGACCCTCTGCTCCTGTCCCCCCACATTTCTAGTGCTTACATTTCCTCCTTGTTTCAGTGTCTGGACTCTGTTGCAGGGAGAAGGGAGCACTTCAGCTGTGCCTGTTCCTTGTCATTAAACATGTACTTTGCCCTTCTTTATAGCTTGTCCATCTAGGCCGAGGAAAACTGGCCTGATCTTCTTCTAATTACTTGTTCCACATCTTCTGTGGGTTAATTTTTCTGGCCACGTGTTTAGATCAGTGTTCCCTTTAATCAAAACTAATTTGGCTTCCAGTGTAAACATCTTATCTTTCCTTTTTGTTAGGGCACAGTTTATCTCTTTGGGGTGGAAGGAGGAAGGTTGTCCCTGCCAAAGCAGCTGTGCACCTTCAAAAAAAAAAAAAAGAAGAAGAAGAGGGGAAAGATTAGCAATTTTTAAAATACAAATGTGTTTTTAATGCATGTTAAATTGCTCCTTGCCAGATGGCAGACTCTTGACAGGGAGTTAATTTGCCTTGACCTGGAGCTGATTAAGTACGAAAAAAGTCATTATGGTGCAGTTGTGAAATGAGCAGACTGGGGCTGCTGGTAAAGTTTGGGACACGGGAAAGACCAGGAAGGAAGGGCTCACTGCAGTCTGGTGGTGTCTGGGGAGCGGAGGGAAGGTTTCTGTGCAAATAATCTACCGAGTGCTGAGGGCAAAGAACTGACCTAGACCCTGGGTTTGTAGCCAGCCTGTGACACACTGACACCTCCCTGTCCTTCCTCGCACAGGGCTATCCGTGTGAACTGCTGGCACTGACAGTGGCAGGGATTCCATCCATGCACATCTGCCTGGATTTCATTCCAGAGCTCATTGCCCAGCCTGAACTTGAAAAACAGGTACTGTGCAGTCACCTGCTTTGGGAATCACTGTGGGGAGTTAATCCTGAGGAGAGAAAACAGTCACGAAAAACGTCCTGTTCTAACTTGCCTGGGCTGTTCAAGCAATATTTGTAGCACTTTTACCTTAAATTAAAGGCCTGGCGTTGCAGGTAACTGGAATTTGTTGGGCTACAGATTCCTGTGTTTCTGTATGGAATCATGGAATGGTTTATGTTGGAAGGGACCTTTAAATTAATTTAATTCCAACCCCTCCTGCCATGGGCAGGGACACCTCCCACTAAGGCCAATTTGCCACATCAAGCCAACTTTAGAGTTTCTTTAATCCCTTCTCTGTACTAAGTTCCTGCTGAGAAGACACTCAGCTAAGGTTAAACTGAGAACAAACCAGACCCAAGCAGCTTTCCCAGGGGTTGGGTTGGAAGCTCTTGTGTTGCTGTGCTGCTCACCATTAATGGTGGAACAAACTGTGTCTGTGGGGGAGAATCTGAAACACTGATGCTGTCACTTTGGTTAATGTTATATCTGTGTGGGTTACTTTTCTTAATATCAGCAGGGAGGAAAAAAAATCAGAATAACTGTTATTAATGCTTTTTCAGCTTTCATTTCTTGGTAAAATAGAGAATATTTACTAACTTGTGATTTTCGTCAAGAGCTTTGGAGATAGAAAGTGCAAGCAATTTGTAACTTTATTGCCTATTTCTCTTTTTGCCTTTCACCTACCTGCCAGATATTTGCCATCCAGTTACTGTCCTATCTGTGCATCCAGTATGCACTGCCTAAATCCCTGAGTGTGGCTCGTTTGGCCATCAACGTGATGGGAACCCTGCTCACAGGTGGGTGCTCCAGCAGCCCCCACGCTCCTTGCTGTGTGAATTAGGATGCCTTCTCTAAGTTGATGCAGTTTGGTCTGAATGCCACTCTTGTGGCAGTTAATATTGTAAATGCAACCCCAGTTCCTGGCAGGGTTTTTATAACAGTTTCCATTTTGCTTCCCCACGTCCTCCCCTCCGGCAGTGCTGACCCAGTCGAAGCGCTACGTGTTCTTCATGCCCACCCTGCCCTGCCTGGTGTCCTTCTGCCAAGCCTTTCCTCCCCTCTACGAGGACATCATGTCCCTGCTGATCCAAATAGGACAAGTTTGTGCCTCTGATGTTGCCACACAGACACGGGACTTCGACCCCATCATCACTCGTGAGTCGAGAGTGCCTTTATTTCAGAAACAGCGTTGTGGCCCCAGGGGGGAACCTGTGGTGATGTTTCAAAAGTTTGAGTGTGGTTGGAATGTTTCGTGGAATTTACTGCTTGTAAATACAGAAGGAATAGGGACAGGTGGATTTACTGGATAGAGAAGGGACTTTAGATGTTCCTTACCTAAAGTACTAATTGATTAAACTTTTTCTTCTCCTTTATTTCCCTGCCTGTGTCGTTGCAAGATGGGTCCCTGCATGCAGGTGTTGTGCAGAGAGCTTGCCCTTGTAGGCTAAGGATTAATGACATGAGCAGAGGCCACTGGTTTTTGGAACACCAGGGCGCACAGAAATGCTGTCTTGTCTCTAGAGAGTCGAGTGAAGCCTGGTGAATAAAATAGTGATGGCTCAGATTTGCAATCCCATCACATCTACCTGTGTTAGGGGTGCGAAATAACAACTTTCAATGCTTTGTTTATTTAAGGTACTTTGCTGCCTCTACCTCGTTTTGCAGGTCTCCAGCAGCTAAAGGAGAAACCCCACGATCTGTCAGGGCTCTGGAAAGACTCCTCTGCCAAGAGCTGCTCCAGGGACGTGGCCAGCCTGGACCCCGACGTGCGGCTGTGCCAGTGCGTGGAGAACACCATCATCGAGATCATCAACATGAGCGTCAGTGGCCTTTAGGAACAGCTCAGGGGCATTTGGAGCTTGGCCCACTGCCCACAGTGCCTGAATTTGGGGAAAGCTGTGAAAGTGCTGAGGGAGCTGGAGCAGAAATGCCTGGTTTTCATCCTGTTTTTACGGCCCAGGAGAAAATTCTTTTCCAGAGGCTCACGTTGCTTCCAGTGAAAACTCCTGGGGCTGGTGGGATCAGGAAAGAATTCCCAGTGGAACTGAGAGTGATCTTCAGGCTTGCTCAGTTTCTGAGGTGATCCAGCTGCACAGCTGGAGGGGTTTTAGGGCACTGGAAAGGGAATATTTCATTTGGTGAGCAAACAGCAACATGAGGGGGAAGAAAACCTGGAGATTCCAGTGAGTCAAATGAGCTGCTGTCCCAGAGCAAGATGGAATAAAATACTCCGAGGAATACCTGAAAAAGTGGTGCCAATGACTTGCACCATCACACTGAGGGCTAAGAAAATGTTTTAACTCTTGTTCTGTTTGTGTGTCAGGCCACTGGTCAGAGTTTCAGGAGCTTCGTTTGAAGATCAACCAGCCCTCCCTGAGAGTTTGAAGCTGCTCTGAAAGTTGCTTTAAAAAAAAGGATTAACGGTAAAAATGAGTTGTATAAATGTGCTTCTTACAGGATGGGTGTTTTTCATGCAGCTCAGATGATCTGGTATTTTTGACTTAAAAGTGATGGGAAAGACTTGAAGAAAGGAGATCGTCAGGATAAGAAATTGGTGTTGAGTGTGCAAAGGAAGAAAGGAAGGAATGGCCAGAGCAGTTCCAGGCAGCTCAGAAAGCCAAATCCTTTGTGCCCCCTCTTGCAGTTGGTTGTTCTTTTCCACACAAGGGGATTTTTGTCATCTTACTGTAAATGATGTAAATAATCTGAATGTATTATTTTTTTCCCTCAGTTCCAAGTGTAATTTTATATGCCGTAGTGGTATTTAAATAAAAAAAAACACAACAGTATGGCTGAATTTCGAAGGGAGTTGCTTGTATTGATTTTCAGTTTTCCAGTTTTTAAGTTTTCCAGGCTCATCCCCAATTCCACCTGAGAGAACACCCCCCACTCCAGGACACCCCGACAGCTCCCAAAACCAAAAAGATTTGGGGCTTCTGTGTGTGGGGCAGTGTTTTAAAAACATTGACTCTACAAAAACTCTTAGTTTTTTATTCCCACACATTATTTTCTTTCCCTATTTCCAAATGTATTTCCAGGGTGTTTTCTGTGCATTGCCCTTAAAACAAGGATAATAATAATAACGATAACAAGGATAATAACAATAATGGTAATAATACCCAATAGTAATAACACCTGATAATAATAATAGTGGGCAATAATAATGGCCAATAATACAACAAGAGCAATAATAATAATAAATGTATAATATACAATTATACAATCGAATATAATGTAAAATATATAGTCATATATAATATAATGTAAAATGGAATATAATACAATGTAAGCAATAAAATACATTATTATTATTTCTCAATACTGTCCCCCCAACCTCCCGGTTGCCTAGCAACGCGCGCAACCCGGAAGCCAACAAGGCGCGCAGCGATTGGCTCCCGGCTCTCAGGGGAGGAGGGCGAGAGGGCGCAGTGTGGGGTTCGCTGATTGGCGGCGCTCGGCCCTTTCCTGTCAGCTGATTGGCTGGGGCGGAGGCGGGAAGGACGGAGGGCGCTGAGGCGGCTCCGCGAGCGCCGCGGGGTTCGTGAGGGGAGCGGGGCCGGGGCTGAGCGCACCTGGGGAACCAGCAACCAGGGACCGCTCTGGGGGTGGGTTCGAGCGGCACAACTTCCTCAGGAGGCAGAGCCGCTCCGCCCGGGGCCGAGCTGGCGGTGAGGGCTTCGCTCGGGGCGCCCAGAGCGCTCCCGGTCGAACTGGCGCTCCACAGAGGGGGCTCTGCCGTGTCCCCGACCCTCCCAGCGCCTCACGGGCAGATTTAACTCGGAGTTATCCTTCATTAAGGATCCCACCCCCCGAATTTGTGGGGAAAAGCCTTTTCATGGGAGGTGTGTGGGGGGGGGTCCTTCCATCCACCCTGCCTAGGCTACAAACTCACGCCAGCAACCTTTTTTTAGGATTGCGTTTTCCCGGGGAGAAACTCGGTGATGAAGCTGAATCATGCCGTGTATTGGTGTTTTTTGGATATATGTATTTAATTAAAAGTCAGATGAGGACACAGGTTAGTGAGTTGATTTATTGCCTGGCATCTGCCACTTTAAACGTGCGCTGTTGGTCAAGGCTGAAAACCTGTAAGAAGAAAAAAACCCTGTGTTGTTTAAAAAATATAGTATCTTTTGAAGCCTTCTGTGCCTCTTCAGCATTTTTAGTTGAGTAATTTCAATTTTTTAGCACGATAGGGAAATTGTCTTTTATTATCCACAGTGAGAGAGACTCAAGGTAATAATCACAGAATAGTAAAGTGACTGACACCCCATTTCCCCCCGAGTAATTACTGTGTTATTTGTGGAAGAAAAGTGTTCATTTTTAAACATTTTTAAGGTCAGTGTCGAGTTTCATTGTCATTGTTATAAGAGGGGTGGTACAAGCTACTATTGACAATTGAGTCTTTGGAGTTCAGGCTGGTGGAGCTGCAGAGTTGAAAGACTGGCTGATATTTAGTAACTAAAAATCCTAAAATCCTTTTTCCCTTTGGCTTTGAGTTTTTATCCCAGCGGTCTCCAGGCTGGCTGATGGAATCTGAACCGGTGTGTGCAGTCCATCGTGGGTGTATTTAAATTGCTGATGTTACTCATCAGCTGGTGGCAAGTTGCTCTTGTTTGTAATGAGGACCAAGCCCTGCATTTCAGTTCTGTTGTTGTCCTGAACCATTACCAGATTAACTGCTTTTCCATGTTCTTATTTATTGTTATATGTTGTTTCAGGCTTTATCTGGCTGTTACTGTTGACTTGCTAATAATATTTTAATTTTTAATTGCAGTTCTAAACCTGAAGTAAAGGGGAGGAAGAGCTGGCAATGTCTTCTGAGAGGGCAGAATACACCATTGGGGGGGTGAAGATCCTCTTCCCCTGCAAGGCTTACCCCTCCCAGCTGGCCATGATGAATGCTGTGAGTACAGCTCACACTGCCTCCTAAACTAGGAGTGTTTCCCACTCTTTGGAATTCCAGTTTCTCTATCAGCACTTAGAAAAAGGGATATATTAAATTCAGAGCCTCCGGTGTGTTGAGAATGTCAGTTGTAACAGCTGTGCTGTGCAATATCTGCAGCGTGCCCAGGGAGTGCTGAGGGGCATTTTGGATTTGGGAGCATTTGTGCTAAGAACCAAGTTGTGTGTTGTGTAATATATATATATAAAATATATAAAAATGAATTGTTGCACTTACATTTAAATATTTTTAAGGAGTTTTAACCATTTAATTTTTCTCTGTGGCACAAATGGTTTGGTTGTTATTATTAAAGGTGACTGTGGGGGTTGGTTTTCTACTTGTCATAGGACAGCAGGTGTCCTGACCTGCTTTTAGAAGTTATTTCTAAGGTGAGCTAAAGACATCTGCTTTGCTATCTATTAATTCTGGTTTTGCCCTTGCTGTTCTCCTTGCAGATTGTGAAAGGTCTAAACACCAGGCAGCACTGTTTGCTGGAGAGCCCTACAGGCAGCGGGAAAAGCTTGGCATTACTTTGCTCTGCATTATCATGGCAGCAGTCTCTGCATGGTGAGTTGTCTTAGTGGCTGCTTGCACAGTTTTTGTTACCAAAACAGTGAATTGCTGCTGTTGATCAGCCTTTAATTTCGTTTATCAGCCTTGGATCTCAGGTGTTTGTGCACCATTACACACCTTACCTTACCGGCAGCACAAAGCAGTGGTGGCCAGCAGAGCTGAGCTGGATTTGGATCTCCTAAGGGAATTGTTTGGCTGTTGGAACTTTGGAGGAGAATCCTCGTGGGTGGCAGTTGTGTGGGTGGCACTGAAGGAGAGAGGTGTTTTCATTTCTCAGGGGGTTACAGCTCTTTGCACTGCAGTTCCTCAGGGGGTGTTTGGAACTCGCTCAGCTCTGCAGAGACCCCGGGTTTCCAGCTGGTTCCTGAGCTTCCCCCTCGGCTGTTGTGCCGGTGTGGGTGTCCTGTGAAACCCTGCGTGGTTTCAGTGACAGCCCATGTGTGTCCCTCAGAGAAACGCGAGCTGAGCCGCTCCTGGGAGCAGGACAGGAAGGCAGAGCCGCCCCCGCCCTGTCCCTGCACGTGTCACTGCCAGCCCAGGGGCAACGAGGCTGCAGCGAGTGTGAACCCTGGGGCTTCTTGTTCTGACAACGGGGAAACAGCGACTGCCACCAAACCTGCAAGCCCCCTGACTAACACAGGTAACTTCGTGCACACCCAGATAAAAATTTGTTCTGAGAGTTGTCTTTTTGCTTTCAAGTCAGGGGTGTGGTTTTTTGCCATCATCATAGAGTGCTGCAGAATTCTGCCCTGCATGAAATCTGTGTGGTGATTAATGGGTCTGGGAATGTCCAGTGCAGTTACCCACATCACGTGTGTTTATAGTAAAATCCGTTTTTAAATTGCTGTCCTTATTTAATGCATTTCTCTTTTCTTTGATGAGTTACAGAATGTAAGGAAAATGAAACTCTAGCTTCCAAATTGGCCGCCAAAAAGAAGTTATCCCTACGTGACAGTGAGAGTGATGATTTTCAAGTGGACAGGAAAAGGATCCGTCCTTTGGAAACAGAGCAGCAGGTGAAAAAAAGTTTATTGGCTGTAAAATAATCCAGGTGCATCTAAACCAAGCTGTCAAATACCAATCAGTGTTACACAGAAGGGTGTGGACAATAATTGAGTCGTGTCACAGTTCAGATTGACGGGTTTCTGTTCATTTTTATTGTTACTCGTTACAAAAGAGTCCATTGTTGCATTTAAATGTTCATAATAGCCTGTCCTAAACCATACCCTGCCTATTTAAACAAGCAGTATCCCCAAAATATGTTTATCCCCAGCTGATCTGGGATACTAAGCCGAAGTCTGAGATTGTAGAGTTGAAAGTGCTCTTGGAAATGGTTTCTCTCCTGTCTGATGTTGGTATCTCTGGCCTAGTGTGTGGAGTGCAATATTTCTGTTGTGTTTTCATCTGTGTCAGGGTTGGTACCCCATGGCTGAGGACTTGTGCACTAAAACAGCTTTTCCATTGCTGCAGAGCACTTGTGATTAAGTTTTTACATCAGCATGGCTTGAATTTGCTTTTTTGGTTTTGTTGAGAAAGTTTTC